GTCTTGCACATCCCAAGCAGAGCTGCAGACATCTTTCATATAACCGTCCGGCCAGCTACCCTGCACTGACTGCCTCAATGCCTTCTGTTAACACCCGAAAATTTCAGATCGTGCCTCAAAACTAAAACCACAAAAGCTCCCACCATGAAATATTTTCCAGCCTTCTTGTTTAAGGAAGTAGAAAGAAGAAGAAAGAATTCAACATCTTATGAAAGTACTGGTTGGCCGTATCACTGCCATCCACTGCCAACTCCGCACCATGCTGTGAGACCCCAGGGCCACCGCCGCCACCGAGATGGACCCGCGCTGGCCCCTCTGCACATTACTCCGCTACCTGGGACCACCTACGCACTCGCCCATCCCCTGGACACCTGCGCGAGAGGACACCAGGGACAGGGGGATGGTGCCAGTGGGGGCAGAGCCTTCATCTCACTGGCCAGAGCCTAAGACCCATGGTCTTGGGGTGGCACCTGAAGGGCTGGGGGCCCTGCTGGTTTACTGTGAGGGGTACGGTTGGGTGACTGGTTATTGTATGTTATATGGGCCCAGGGGCTTTTGCAAGTAGGCTGCATTTGTATTAGTTTTACTGGTTGGCTTTAAATTGATACGGGAGTTCCTGGGAGTGGGTGGGCGCCCCCATTGGGGTAGTTATGGGCACAAGAAGATATGACATTGGGGGTCTAACATGTCATTACAGAAGGAGGGACAGATGGTTAGTATCTGTTCCCTCTTCTGGTTCCACCTCCAACCGGAAGGTTCCTGGCAGTAACATCAACTGGCTCTCAGGCTTGATGGAGCTGCTACTGAATGCCAGGTTGGTCCAAAAAAACGCTCCCTCTCATCCATGATTTAATCATGGATGAGGGGGTTGACCTGGCATGCATTACAGAGACCTGGGCGGGAGAAGGAGAGGGCATGTCCCTCACCCAGCTGCGCTTGCCTGGGTACCTGGTGTGGCACCAACACCCCCTTGAGGGAAAAGGAGGGGGTGTGGCCCTAATTTATTGAGATTCAATCTCCCTTGCCAGGCTTCCTGTCTCTTTGAGACCAGGTCTAGAGTGTTTGTACCTGGTGCTTCGTGATCAAGACAGATTAGGGATTCTGTTAGTGTACGTGCATCCATCTGCCCAGCAGACTCCCTGCCTGAGCTGATGGAGATCGTCTCAGACCTGGTGTTGAGGACCCCCAGGATGTTGGTCCTGGGGAACTTCAATTTCCACGCTAAGACTGTTCTGACCAGGGCAGCTTAGGACTTCATGGCTGCCACAACAGCCATGGGGCAGTCTCAACACGTCACTGGTCCAACGCATGAAAGAGGCCACACTCTAGACCTGGTTTTCTCAACGGGACAGGAAGGTGATCTGGAAATGAGGTATTAGACTCTAACTCCTTTGTCATGGTCAGACCACTTCCTCGTAAGGTTTGAACCTGGGGCCAGTTTCTCCCTTGGTAAGGGTGTGAACCCTATTAAAATGGTCCGTCATCAGAGTCTTATGGATCCAGATGGATTCTTGAGGACTCTGGGAGGTTTTCGGTTGATAAACCTGGTGCTCCTGTTGATACCCTGGTTGATTTGTGGAATGGGATATGACCGGAGCAATCAACAAGATTGCTCCTAAGTGTCATCACCCATCATGCAGCGCCTGCTTGGTGCCATGGTATATGCCTGAGTTGCTGGTGATGAAGCAGGCTGGGGGACGATTAGAGTGCAGGTGGAGAAAGTCATGGGACAAATCTGACCAAACATATCTTGTGGTTTTATTATTGTACTTTCGGAATTTTATACTATGTAAGTTGTCCTGAGCACTTGTGCAGAAGGACGGGATACAAATGCTTGCATTAATTAATTAATTAATTAATAATATTAGAGCTCATTATTGAGGCTATGCTGTGGCAGTGAGGGTGGCGAAGAAGGGATTCTTCTCCTCTTCCACTGCATCCTCACAGTGCCATCCAGCTGAGCTTTTCGGGTAGTGCTTGGCCTATTACTTTCTGGCCTTAAAAAGGATCTTATTGCACCATCCATAGCTCACTGTGATGACTTTGCCCAGCACTTTAAGGATAAAATTGCTCAGATTCGCCATGAGCTGGACTCCACAGTTGATATGGTCCTAGAAAGGGGCGCATCTAGAGTGCTGTCTGGTCCACCTTTACTGAATGAGTTTCAATTGTTGTGGCCTGAGGATGTGGACCAGGTGCTTGGATTGGTCCGACCCACCACCTGTTCACTTGCCCCTTGCGGCTGCTTATCAAAGCCAAAAATGGGATAAGCACCTGGGTCCGGGAGGTCATCAATGCTCTCTGAGGGAGGTCCGTATCCCTGCCCCTTTGAAGGAGGCAGTAATCATGCCTGCTCTGAAGAGGGTGTCTCTGGACCCAGAGATGGCTGCCAACAATAGGCCGATGGCCAATATCCCGTTTTTGGGCAAGGTGCTCGAGCGGGTGGTGGTGGGACAACTCCAGGTGCTCTTGGAGGAAACTGACCGTCTAGACCCATTTCAGTCTGGCTTCAGACCTGGCTATGGAACTGAAACTGACTTGGTTGCCTTGTATGCTGGCCTGTGCAGGGAGAGGGACAGGGGGATTGTGTTCCTGTTGGTTCTCCTGGACTTCTCAGTGACTTTCAATACCATCGACCATGGTATCCTTCTGGATAGGCTGGCTGGGTTGGGAGTTGTTGGTGCTGGGGGACTGTGGCTCTGCACCATGGCAACTTTGCCACAGGGTTCCACAGGGTTCCATTTTATCCCCCATGCTTTTTAACATCTACATGAAACCACTGGGAGAGGTCATTCGGAGATTTGGGCTGCGGAGTCATCAGTACACTCTTGACACCCAGCTCTACCTCTCTTTTACATCTAGTCTGGTGAGGCAGTGGCTGTCCTTAACCAGTGCCTAGCCAAGGTACAGTGGTACCTCGGCTCATGAACGCCTCAGTTCATGACCAAATCAGGTCGCGAACAGAAAGTTCAGAAAAAAATTGCCTCAGGTAGTGAACTCCGCATCGGGTGACAATCGCGATCGTGCCTGCCTTCCCTGCACGAGCGCGATTGCAATCATGCTGCCGGGGGGGAGGGGAGAATGCCCGCAATTGCAGTCATGCAGGGAAGACGGTCGTGATCGTGGTCGTGCTGGGAGGGGGGAGATGGCCACGATCGCGCCCGTCTTCCCTGCTCAAGTGCAACCATGATCGCGCCCGTCTATGGCTGTGATTGCAGTTGTGCTCGTGCAGGGAAGATGGGCGCGATCATGGTCGTGCTTGGGGGGGGTCGGGAGATGGCTGTGGTCACACTTGTGCAGGGCAAACGGGCGCAATCGTGGTTGTGCTCAGAGGGGGAGATGGCCATGATCGTGCTGGGGGGGGGGGGGGGGGGGAGATGGCAGCAATCTTTGTTGGTCTTCGTTACTTTGTTGTTCTTTGTCACTTTGTTTCACATTTTTGTGATTAAAAAATGGTAACAGAATGGATTAACCTTATTTACACTGAACCTTATGGGGAAATCTGACTTGGGTCATGAACAATTTGGGTTGCGACCAGAGTCATAAAACGGATTAAGTTCGTGAGCCAAGGTACCACTGTAATGGGCTGGATGAGGGCCAATAAACTGAGGCTTAATCCAGACAAGACGGAGGTCCTGTTGGCGGGTGGCTCAGCCTTCCAGGGAATTGATTTTAGCCCTGTCCTGGATGCGGTTGCACTCCCCGTAAAGGATAGGTTTCACAGGTTGGAAATGCTTTGGGCCTTCTCTGTGGTGGCACCCCAACCATGCAAGACGTTCCCCAGAAATGTTTGCCTGGCACCGACATTATATTCTTTTCGGTGTCAGGCAAAACCCTTTTTATTTTCCTGTTATTTTAATATTTAATTGATCTTAACATGGGTTTTAGTATATAATTGATGGATGCTGGGGTGCTTGTTTTATTCTACTCAGTTTTTGTAAGCCATCCTGAGATGCTAGTAGTGCACAGGTTAGAAAAAAGGTTGTGAGACTCTGAAGACCCAGTATTGTGTAAGCAGGCCTATATGACTCTCTTATCACCTTTATTTAAGACGATCACCAAAATCTCCCCTGCTATCTTGTTTGCCTGGCCTATGATAGCCAAAGATATGTAAAGTACTCCCCATCAACTCCCAGCCTCTCTTCACATAAAAAAGGAAGAGGAGCTCACTGGGTCTGACAACTAAAGTATTCTTCTAACATCTAAGGAGCATTTTCAGAAGAACTTGGTTTAATTTTGGTTACTGAACCATGAGAAGAAGAGTAAAAAGAACAATACAATCTATAGACTACACAGGGGGAAATTCACTGTCATTTAGTGGCAATCACTCTTATACTTTCTGCTCAAAAGAACAGTCCTCCCCTCCCCTCCCCTCCCAGTTGCTCAATAGAGCTTCCCATCAGTTAAAAAGGCAGTAGATGTGCCTTTTAACTTTTAAGATTGTTGCACTATCTTCTATATTCCTTGCTTTATCTTCTTTGTTCTTTTGAAGTGGTCCATACTCCAGTTACTCCTTTCCTCCATTCTTCCTAAAATTCCATCCTATTCTAAACTCCCCAAGCCCATGGCTTCAGAGCTCCTTATTCTCTTTTATGTCTATCAAATTCTGCCCCCAGATTCCTGCTCCTCCTCTACTGGCCTCCCTCTTAAACTCGCCAACAATCCTCCACCAGAATCTGTTCCTCTCACAGTTGAAGTTTCTTTCTCCCCCACAAATGTCTTCCAGTCTCAGATTTCTTTCTTCTCTTCCCCTCTACCCATGATCAACCACACATACTGTTACTCATAATACAGTGTTCTCTGACCCACTGCGCTTCCATCCCCCTTCGCTTGAACACCCACACTTAAAACTGTTCTCTCCTTCCTGCGTGTCACATATGACCCAAAACAGAGTTTTCAAGCATCATTTTCAAATGGTAACATTTCAAGGATTTTCACTTGAAATTGCATGTGATATAATACAGCTAATTAAGTGGGAGCACATAAATTCATTGTTCTACCTGGGAGGAGGGGAATACCAGTCATCCATATCTGATCGGAACTTCATTGGTTGTTCCTCGGCTGACGGATAGCTGCTGTAGTAAGGGAAAACAAGATAAATCCTTTCTTAGAACGTTAGGCCATTATTTCATACCTAGAAACATTCTTTTTTTCCTGTCAAAATGATATATTCTATCCATGGTATAAGTGGGCTTCATAAGACTTGCACTGTATGAGAAAATAATGCCACTCCCTGCCAAACCAGAACAAACAAAAGTCATCCAAGAAAAGACAGGAACTTTAAAAAGGATATGACATGGTAAGATCTAATTGGCTGACAACAAGATTAGGCAAATATACAAGAGAGAACTCACTCCTTTGCACAGGGATTAACCTCCAGTATTGGTGCAATTAAATTCTATGTCAGAGGTGTCCAGCACCTACAAAGCATCACAGAAGAGTGTCGTGTAAAAACCTTACTCAGGCTATGTTGAGTTATGACAGTTTTTACCAGATTCTGAGAAGTCTTAGGGAAGGGCTCCTAAAGAGCAAATGAAAATATCTGTAACAAGTGGAAGAAAAGATTGGCTTGTATCCTCAGGGAAGCAAACTCATGGCAGCTAAAGGTTTCACATCCTCTCTTTTCCATGCAGCCCCTAAATCCAATCCAGAAGGTCCTGTGGAAAGCCTGCGGACCTTCCGTAACAGTGTCAGAAGTATACAGAGGGCAGGAGGGAAGAAACACTTCAAATTAGGCAAAGGAAGAGAAACTTCATGTAACCTTCCTTCCATTCACTCCTCTTAGACTCCAAGTAATTGTTTGTTTAGGATGCTCTTTATATACAAAACCAGCCCATTTACTTCAATTATTCCTAACCAAAAACGAAGAAACAAGAAATTACTGACCTTTTCCTCTCTCCCCTTTCAGCTTTTTAAACAATTAGGATATATACACACAAGCCCGGAATGTATATAATTGAGACAGACAGCTTGCCTGAGCAGAACTGTTTTTTCTGAACTCAAAATTGTTTTATTTATTTATTTTTTTAAAGAAAAAACCATAAATGGTAGGAGGCTGAAATGTGGGCACTTTTTCAACCAGGCATGTTGTGGGCTGAAAAATGTCCTAGAAGGACCAATCTGCAGGAATGCATATGTGTATGTTATAGTACAGAATATAAGCTAGGGGTATGCTAGTTACATGTGGGCTGAAGATGAATATAGTGGCCGATTAATATAAGCTTCCTTGATGGATGTTCTCCAGTCATGGAAAGACTTCACCAGTGAGGGCCACTGGACCCCATACTGATATTTTCAACACCATCTTAAAACCTTCCTCTATTCCCAGGCATCTGGCAGCAAATGATAGGTTTTTAATTAGATCATGGTGATATTGTTTGGATTTTTGCATCCCTACTGCATCTGCTGTCTGGCTGTATGTTTGTATCTGATCTGTTTTTGCATTATTCATAATATTGTAATTTTAAGAATTCTAATCTGTGTAAACTGCCCAGAGATCTTTATGTATTGTACAGCTTAAAACTGAAATAAACAAAATTAAATACAACCATCATCCCATTAGTAGCCCAGCTGTGCAACGAAGTGCCACTGAGGACTGAAGACTGGGAAAATATGAGCGGGAGAATGTTAATTCATTCATGTCCTACCTGTGGGTTTCTTACAGACCTCTGGTAAGTCACAATGGAAACAGAATGCTGGACTAGATATGTCTTTGGTTTGATCCTGCATAGTTTTTCTTATGTCCTTATTTAAAGTTGAATCTTCCTTTTGACAGCATGGTAGGTTTAGATAGAATGGCATCCTCTAAGGAGACCCAAACCCACATGGAACAACTCTCACTCCTAGAATCTTGCTTCAAACTGCACAAATGAAAAGCTATCTAAAAGCAAAAGGACATGCCAAGCAAAGGACTTAGTTTCAATTTTGGTATTTAAATGAGAGTAGATGTGAGGATTTTTATTTGCAGATTATCTAGCAAAATGGTCACAGCAACTACAACATATTCCTTTCCGATCATACCTTTCAAATAGCTGCGAACTACATGTAAGCTCTTTAATTTCATCAAATCTTTGCAAGTAGTCGGAGCAACAAGATCGATTATTGCAGGTCCCACAGCAGTACACTGGGCATGATATGCTCATATAAAAATTTCCATCTGAATCTTTGTATGCCTTGCAGTCCTCACAGAAGACTAGAGGAGAAAATCAGAACAAGCAAAAACATGTAAGTTACACAATGAACTTAAAGCATTCCCAATTCGAATCAATACATCTTTTATTTGCATGTTTTTTGCATCTTGAAAGCACATATTTGACTGCTGAATAATTACATCTTTCCATGAACAGTATATATTTGAAGTGAGTAGGTGATCTCTGAGAAGTGATAGCTTTAAAATATAATATCTGCAAACCTCTACTGAAACTCATTAGGGGAGTGTTTTGCCAGGTGGACATTATTTTTCAAGAATGTCTATTCTGGGGGCTTTAAGGGGCTGTTAATGAATTAAGTCAGAAGTGACCTGTTGCCTCTATGCACTATTAAATATCCAAAATGGTTAATACACCTCTCTTCAGACTGGTAGCAACCATAATACAAGGAATCCTGTTATTTCCAATACTGTCTGTTCAATGTTCTCCTCTGGCCTTTGATTACCAATTCGAGTAGCAACTCCTAATTCAATACTGAAAATATGTAGATTGCACCCTAAAATAAAGATGCTTGAAGTACAGCTTGAGTATACTTTCTCTGCCATGAGATATGTTAGTGATGTGTTTCCCAGGCTACTGGTGCAACCAGAGTTATAGCCAAAACAAACATGAGAACTGTGATCAGCTCACATGACTTTCTGATTTTATATGATCTTAAAAGCAGCAACCAATTCAGATGGAAGCAGTGGTGCTAGATGAATGGGCTAAACCTCCCCAAAGCCTTTCTCCTGCGATTCCTTTCTTGGTGCTACCATAACAAGCAGATGGACAGAACTCTTTGGCTTGGATCTAGAACTGCTCACCTTCTTAAGGTTATGGCAAATCCAGTGGAGGCTCACACTCATGGTAACAGTAGTAATTTCTCACCTCTGCAGCCCCATGACACCACTTCTCAAGTTGTTCCAAGGGGTCTCCCATTTTGACAAAATTTTAGGGAGCACAGGGAGAGGCAAGGGGAAGGAATCAGCAAAGATCACCATCCCCACCTCCACTTCTGATAGTGTGAGCATCTTGTGAGCCAAATTCTATTTATAAGATCTCCAGTACCTTTACATTATTCTGAATTATCTGTAGAATGTTTTAAAAAATATTTTCCAATGTTAAAACCAATGACATTTTCTACAATGTCAAAAGTAAACATCTGTTCCAAGAAATCCCATTGATCAAGCTAAAGCAAGATGAAACCCTGGAAAGGAAACTAACATGGCAGCCATAGCCAACAATGATTAATTTACTCTGCAGTCAATTTAGTCTGCATTGCCCTGGGACCTGCATATATAAGGGCCAAACCAGATGTATTTGTGTATGTAAAGCAGGTGCTCAGGGCAGCTACATTTATCACTCAGTGGAGCCCACAGGGAACCATAATGAAATCTGACCGTTTCCTATAAAAACTTAAAAATGCCTATTTCTTCCTGTGATGTATTTTATTCCACGTGACACCTGGGTTTTTCTGTTATGGCCAATGAAGGAGAAAAGACCTCACTTCAGCTGTTCATGCTGCACTCTGCCAACCTCACACGCACTTTAGAGGCCTTGGCTTGTCTTATCAAAAGGAACACTTGCTCCCTTATAATTTCTCCCCTTCTGACTTCTCTCTTGACTTTCTATATTATTCACAGCACAAGCTTGACTACTAAAAGTAAACTCCACTGTGCTGAGTGGGACCTGCTTCAAGGTAGGTAAGATCATAGCTACAGGTTCAGCTCCACCTATTGACCACGTAATTCTCCCTGAATAACTTCCATCAATTTTTACTCTCCGTTTCTCTCTGCTTCTACAAGAACATTATTTGGTGTCCTAATGGTCGCACAGATCAAGCATGCTTCCTTATACAGTTAACTCTTCCCATTTAAGTGATTTCTACTTGTTTCTATTTCTCTGAGGTTGTCTTATTAAACATTTGTTGTGAGTTGTCATGACTGGGGTGGGGCTGGGCTGGTGGTTAAACAGAAAGGAGGAATATATGTCAGTAAATGACAATAAAAAAGAACTCATGCTGTAATTGTTTTCATATACTTCATGACCAACACTTCTTAAAACCATGCCTTTCTTTTACACGACCAAGCAGTTACTTTTCCTTAAGTCATTATGCCTCAACCTCAAGTTCCTAGAACGTAACAAAAATGGTTTTCCTTTCTGGTCCTCTAAGCCAGTGGTTCTCAAGCACCGGTCCGTGGACTGACGCAGATCTGCGGGAGATCTCCTGCCAGTCCATGGGGGTTGGGGGCACATCCTGCTTGTCACGGACCGGCACAGGGGCTGGCTGTGCTCCCCCACCTCTTCCTTGGTTGTCACTGTGTTCACAGGGGCCGTGTGCTGGTGCCGCCAGGGGAGCCACAGAGGAGAAAGACAGCTCGTGGGAGCTGGGTGGGAGCCGCACTGCACCGATTTCAGTATTTTGTTCTTTTGTTGGCATTTTTTGTAGCTCAGTTTCTGGTTGTTTTGGAGAATGTTCATTTTTTTTGGTATTGTCTTTGGAAACTAATACACAGAATACTGTATTATGTGTATGGTGCTTTTTGTTTCTGCCTCAGCGGTTCCTGAGATGCTTTTCCTGTTTTTGCCAGTCCCCAGGTATGGAAAGGTTGAAAATCATTGCTCTAAGCTTTGCCTCCTTCACATTCAACACAAGCTCATCTATTGTGTTTCCCATCTCCAAAACAACAGTTTCACATGTTTTAAAGTTTATATACAAAAAAAAAAAACCTGTGCTGGAGGTAATGTAAATTGTATATGTTGATTACTCATGTGAAGCAGGGGTTAATGCTCTATCTAAGAGACCAGATAACTGCCATTCATGTGGTGGGTTCCAGTAGTTGGGGATGGAAAGGCAAATTCCAGCATTTCATAGAATCATAGAATAGTAGGGTTGGAAGGGGCCATGAAGGCCAAAGAGTCCAACCTCTTGCTTTTGCAGGACACCACATTACACCATCCTACTCAGATAGCTTTCCAATTTCTTTTTTAATGTCTCTAATGTGGGAAAGCCCACTCCTCTCTAGGCAGCTAGTTCCACTGTCATATTGCTCTGACAGTGAGGAAGCTTTTCCTGATGTCCAGCCTGAATCTGGGTTGTTGCAATTTGAACTGATTATTCTGTGTCCTGGGATCAGCAGGAAGAGATCTTGACCTTCCTCTTTGTGACAGCCTTTAGAGGGATATCATGTCCCCCCTCAGTCTTCTCTTCTCAAGGCTGAACATGCCCAGTTCTCCCAGTCTCTCCTCATAGGGCAGTGTTTCCAAATCCTGGATCATTTTTGTTGTACTCTTCAATCCCTTCTCAAATTTTCCAAGGAACCCTCAGTTAAGACCCATTTCAGCCTCCATCTTGAAGTTGCCTGGGTCCTGGTGCCCATGCCAGTTAGTCAGCCACCTATAACCTGGATGCTGACTATCCCAGACTACAACAAAACCCACAGATAGGAATGCAAGGGATTGTAGTCACCTTTCTTGATATTTTGAGTTCTCCCTTCCTTCTGGTCTTTCTTCACTGTAAAAGTTTAGCTGAGGGTGGCACAACAATGGCCCACTGAGCTGGAGGCAAACCATCAACATGCCTTCTGGTTTCCCTGGTACTAACCAATAACCTTGTTTTTGATGTCCAAAACTGCCAGCCAACAGCAAGGGGTTTACTGAGCTCCTGGCTCACACATGGATGCTGTCAGTAGCATTTAGCTTGGGATCTCAAGTTGAGCATCCCTGCTTTAGCCTGTAAACTCTTCAAGTCAAGTCAAGTATATTCCTTCCCCACTTTCACCTTTTCCTTATGCTGCAAGTCACTATGGAAAACGGTAATCCTCCCCACTGTCGACACACTGTCTAAATTCTATGGACCAGAAACATAACTGTTGCACATGCAACTATCTCAATTAGTATATAAACCAATAGCACTATATGTGCTAGGGTGACAACTTGTGGTTCACCAGAAGTTTTGGCCTACGACTTCCATCATTCTCACCATTGGCTTTGCTGCATTGCATGAGAGTTGTAGGCCGGCACTGGAAGACCACCAATTTTCCAACCCTGGTACATACACATTATGAAAGCAGTTACAGGAATGTTACGATTTGTGAAGCAACTCTTGGTCAAATGTTTCTTCTCCATAGTTCTCCAAGTTCCTTTTTACGACTAATTTCTAAATCATTTTTTGCAGAGCCTTTCATGAATCACCCAAGCTTCACTTCAATTTCTACCCCATAGCTGCCACACTCCTTTCAACCCTATTCTTACTACTCAGCATCAAAACCTCTCCCTCTTAGCTGTGGCAGACCTATGTACAGTGGTTAACCCCTATGGCAATACAATTACTAGCAGCATTTATGATTTGATACTACGGGTTAATATGATTTGATACTATAGGTTAATATGCCATCATCTAAAAGTTTAATAAGTAAAATAATTAAAATTCACTTTTAATTAGTTTCAGAAGAAGCCAAGGATCACTGCTATTTCAACCACTCTCTTCAAGCTTAACTACATTTACATTAACAAGGCCAGCCTTATCACATTTTTAACTTTTAATATCTACCATAAAACTGGGCTAACACTCGAGCCTTAGCTGACATTTCCTCATTCTCCCTAATGCCGATGATACAGCAAAAACGCCTGGGACATGGCCTGGGTTCAGTAATGAGCAGGATCAGGGTGAACAAGCCCAGAGAAGATGGAAGTGTTGTTGGTTGGTAGAAAGTCTGACTTGGGGATCCAGATTCCAGCTGCAGGGTCAGCCCCATAGCTTGGGAGAGGTCCCTATGCTGCCCCTTGATTGTCAGGTGGGAGCAGCAGAGAGGGATGCACTTGAATTATTATTCTTGATGTGCCAATTGAGTCCCCTCTGGAATTGGTGATGCTTGGCAACCAATTCCAATAAACCATGCCTTGCTTCTATCATGTTTAGATTAATGCAATGTGCTCTATGTGGGGTTCCCCCCCCAAAAATAACCAGAAGCTTCACAATGCAGCTGCTAGAATACTAACTAGCACATGGTATCAGAAATATATTATACCATTCCTGAAGCCCTGCACTGGCCAGTTGCCTTTTAACCTCAAATCAAGGTGCCTATTTCAACCTAGGAAACACCAAAAACGTTAAGATCTGACCTCCTACGGGACTGCCTGTCTCATTACTGTTGTAAACCGCCCAGAGAGCTTTGGCTACTGGGTGGTACAGAAATAAATAAATAACAATAATGAACCTGAGCCGTTTTCAGAATACTACTGTGCACAGAGATCACAGGGTTTTCTCCCTTGTTGTTCCTCAGCAGTGGAATACATTCTTTCAAGAGCTATGCTTGGCCTTCACTCTCTTGCCTTTTAGAAAGTGTGTGAAGACACATCTTGTATATTTTTTAAATTATGTAGCCATTTAAACTATTTGAATGCTTTCATTTTTTGTTGTGTTCAGGTTGAAACGTTCTAAACTTGTGCACCACCATGATGGCCTTTAGCAAATAAGGCAGCGTATAGATATTAATGATTTACATACATGAATGAGAACTCTCTCAAGGTATATTTATACTCCATATTTTGGTGGGAGTCCAATTCCTAGAATCCAGTTTCACATGGGGCTAAGAAAAAATATTTCCAAATAGAGTATCTGCATCAAATTACAAGGTATTCGGCCAAAAAGTCTCTGGAATTTTTCCAGCTTTGGCAACAAAAAACAAACAAACAAACTACCAGGAAGCAGTTAGAGATAAGAAGAAAAAAGCAGAGAGCAATACAATTAATCCCACCCATTGAGGGTGGCCTCATCAAAACCACTTGTAATGGGGCTACAAAGGTAGTCGCCTCTAAAATGTAGCGGATGCGGTTATGCCGACTATTCCCACCCAAGTGACCGCGGACCACTCACTTTTCCCTGGATACAAAGCCCAGTGAGTAGGCTCAGAAGAGGCCAAAAGCAGGAGCGACAGTTGAAAATCGTTCACAAAAGGCCTCGGAGGAAACATGTGGCGTGCCCCCCCCCCCATACACGCACTTTTCCTTGGGAGGCTGAGGCCGGGTCTCAGCATGCCCTTTAGCAAAACATTCAGAAATAGGAGGGGCTGCCGCCAGCCTGTCCAGGGAGGAGATGCCGGGACGAGCGCCTTCCGTCGTTCAGGTGCCAAAAAGCCTCGCTGCCCCCCCTCCAAGGTGAGACCCCGAGGATGCTTGGACAGCCCCTTCCGGCGCTCCGAGGCGCGGGGCGCCGCAGTCCTCCACCCGCACTTCTCTCCGAGCCGGACTCGCTGCAATCGTCGAGGAAACTGCATTCATCGCCGACCCGGACACTAGCAAGCTCTCTGCCGGGATGACTCAGCCGCTCCAAGGAGGAACCGCCAGCAGCGCCCCGCGCCTTCCTTTCCCCCCGTAGGGGATGGAAGCGAGCGGGCGGGCTCTCCATGGGACCGACAGAGGGAGTCGCCCGCGGAACTTCCCCGCGCCCCGGGACGCGCACTTACCGAGCGGAGGCGGCGCGCAGAGCCAGAGGACGGCGGCGAGGCTGAGGAGGGGGCTTCGCGCGAAGGCCATCGCCGCCGCCCGCCTCTCCACGGGGCCAAGGAAGGGAAGCGCCGCTGCCCCTCGAGCCGCAGCGAGCCTCTCTGCGTCGGCGAGCGAGAGGCTGGACGAGAGCCCCGCCTCGCCGGCCCGCCCCCAGGAGCGCCGGCCCGCGCCGAGAGGAGTGGGCGGGCGGCCCGCAAGGGCTCTTCGCGCTCTCTGCTCTCGCTCCGGGCGCTCCGCTCCACGCGCTCCGGGCCGGCCCGGGCGGCTGCCGAGGCCACAGGCCGCTCTGGCTGCGCGAGTCTTTCCCACCGTGCCGGGCAGGCTACCCTTCCCCGCGCAAGTTGAGGCACGACTGTTCCTCCGAAAAGGCCTCGGACACCAAGTATTTGCAGTATCTACCCTCAGAAAACACTCAGTATTTACACTGATTTCCTGGGGTTGGCTTGGAGTCTTTCCCAGCCTTGCCTGGCGATACCTTGGCACCTTCTGCATGCAAAGCACGTGATGCTGCCACTAACCCTACAACTTTTAAACGGTTGCTGAGCTACGAGGTGAAACCTCCCATTGATTTGAATACTCTGCCCATATCCATGCATGTATATACTCTGGCTTCTCCTATGTTTGAGGCCCTGGCATCGGCTGAAAGCTGGAAGGAATCTTGCCAGTAATTGTCTTAACTGGCCTCTGATCAGTTACAGGGAGTTTCCAGGGTTCAAACTTGACTTGAAGGAATGCCCTCTGACCAGGGAATTTCGCTCCCTAATCCCCATGTTCTTTGTCTCTCCTATTATTTATCCAGTAAACAGGAAGTCAAGCTTCACAGGCTGTCTCAGGGCTAACGCAGGAGACCAGAAGTGGTTTCTGGGTCAACTACTAACCAACCCTACTAGCAGAAGCCAAGAAGCTGGAAGCATGTTCTGCATGTTTTTATCCACAACATAATCCATGCAGAAACTGAGCATATCCTATGATCCTGCCAGGGGATTCATATTGGGCACCACTGACTTGTGACTTGCAGACACCGGAGATGAATTCTCTCATTATCCCCAGCCAGCATAGTCTGTGATCACAGAACATGCAAACTGTAGATTGAAACATCTGGAAGATACCAGATGGGTGCCCTTTCTGGACACCCCAAATATGGAATCAGCTCCCCAGGGAGGTGTGCCTGCGACCAACCCTTTACACATTTCGGTGCCAGGTTAAAACCTTTTTATTAACCTGTCATTTTAATTGTTGAATAGTCAGTTGTTTATATACTAGTTTTAATATGATGATTGGTTGCTGTGGATCAGTTGTTTTTGTACTATCATCATCATCATCAATTTGCTATATGTCGTATTTAAAATTTTCTATGATTATTATATATATGCTTTGGTTTTGTTTTTGCTGTTTTAATCAATGTACACTGTTCTGAGAATGTTCGCTAAAGAACAGTTTATAAAAACTTTAAATAAATAAATAAAAGTATATCATCACCTTGGAGAAGCAATGTGTGGATGCAGTCGAAAGCGGGCAAGCAAAGGCTGGGTGGTTTTTCGATCTTCAGAGCTTCAGCCAGGATGAAAAGAACCCCACTGGCTGTGAAAGTGGAAGGAGTTCCCTCCAAAGATGGAGTCCCCACTGCAACATTGGAAAGCATTTCTGAATGGGGACTCTGTTTTTTCCTATGACTGGCCAGACAGCTCTAATGGCCATATAATCTCTGAACATTTAGCTCTTTTCCCCCTCCCACAAGGTGGTCTTACTTTGCACCCAAACTTGTGTTCTACCAGAGAATTATGGGTCCTTTCCAAACAAATTTTATGAATTGCTAAGTCATTTTGTTTTTGGTAAACAGATGAGAATGTATCATAACTAGAAAATACTTAAATAAGAAAGACCTGGCTTTATATAGATTGATCCTATTGTTTCTACTAAGTAGGAGGACGTCTGGTTACAACTCATGGCAAAGCAAATGTATGAATCATTTTATTGATAGTCAGGCAACTGGTCCATTTTGCTTAGCATTATGTATTCTGGGACTTAGGAACTTTACAAATTCCAGTCTCTCTCAGCCTCGCAACTAGTTATGAGATCATTAATGTGACAATGAGGACTGAAGTATTTGCTCTAGTACTGAGCTATAGACATTCCTGAATACTGAACAAATAAGATAATACAATTTATTTAGAATTTCTTAAAATCATCCATTTGTTCAATTAATTTATGAGGTAATGTACAAATAAAAACAAAGCAAAATCCATAGGTTAGATGCCGTCTTAGTCATACTTAGGACAGGCTCACCAAAAGCAATGAGAGTTAAGTGTGAATCCTATCAATTACACCCTTGAAGACTGGAAGTCCCCAAATTTGGAAGCTTACAAATGTCTGGTGCAGAGCAAGAGCAGCACCAGAAGCAATCTTGATATTTTGACCTTGAAGAAGCAGTTGGCACAGTTCTTTCAATGCAGGCTGCAAATGGCATTGGGACTCCCCAAGTAATTGGGCAGCATGTACTATTTTTAATACAAGTGCTTTCTACACAAGTGCTTTAATACAAGTAATTTCTCTGCTGAGACTGCCCCTGGAGCCCCAGCTCAGGACTTGGTGGCCTCTGCAACTTCTCTGAGGCTGCCTCAGTTTGTCATTAACCCAAAACATAAGGTGGGACATACCCTTGACTTGGCCTTTGATCCAAGCTGTGAGATCACTAGTCTGCCAGTGGGAGAGGGCTTGGAGTCCAAGTAGCCCCTTTGGCACAGTCAGAACATTTCTTGGGGAGATTTGAACTCATTGCATTTTTCCCTCTTGCGGGGGGAGGGTGCCCCATTCACATGGTCTTCCTCAGGAGATGGATGGGATCCAGTGGGCTGCTGGATGCTCGTGTGGAATTTCAGCTGGACAGATCTGATCCAGTCTCTTTTGGAAAAAGTGCTGTGCAAATGAATATCGACTCCATAGAGTCAGCACCCCCCTTGTTGCTGCAGAACCTGCTCTGCTCCTTGGCATGCTGGGAATATGCCCTCAGTGAAAGATGCTGGACATCAGCTGGAATGTAAATGGTATAAGAACTGAACCGAAGAGAACCCAACATACTCCAGAGTGCATAACTATGCCTGACTATGAGTAACTTCCTCCACTGTGTCTTTGAACAGCTGCTCAGTGGAGTTCTTTGGAGTGATGCTGTTAACATTCTCCCCCAGTGAATGGGGCCTTGCCCCCTCAAAGACACACACTTTACCACACTTTGAGGGCAAAATCACTTGCCTCCAGAGCAAACTTGATGGTGTTGCTAATGATGTGTCAATTTCATCTTCCAATGTGGTTCTTCCAGAGCAAAACTCCCCACTCACCTTGCATCAGATCACCAAAAAGAAATGCTTTTCTGAGCCTTTATGAATGCAGGAAAACTTTTTGGCCAAGTATATACTCTTCCTGTCAATATTTTCGTGACTTTCATCCCTACTTTTGGGCTTCCTTTGCTAGTGAACACTTTGGGGGAAAAGGTTGCTTCTTGTTTTACTGAAATAACACTAGTAATAGCACTGAAAAGGCTCGAGGCAGAGGACTGAAAAATAAAACAAAATACAAAATTGCATATGACAATGTACATGTGTTCCAAAGTCTGTGTCTCTTCAAAGGACCCTGTCTCCTGAGGATATCTTGATTTGTAAAAAGGGGTGTATGGACAGAGGTGAGGAGGGCATTTGATTTCAGAAAGGAAACCTCATGCAGAAAGACGAAGAAGGTGGCAGCAGATGGGAAAGCACATGGGGGCAAAAAGCCCACTAATTCAGGGGGATCTGGTAGATCATTTGGGCCACTGTACTTGTATTTCAGCAAGTGCCTGTGGACAGCAGGGTGATGGAGCAGATGGCAGATTTGGGGCTTCAAATGAAAGATTTGGGTCTACCTATAAGGACATCTACCCCTAACATTTATTCTTTCCTACAATTGCTTCGTGTTACTTCCCTCCAGTGCTCTCTGTTGCTACTCCTCAGATATGCGTGAGGGTTACAGAACAGTGAGTGAGATTGCTAAACATACACATACTTCAAGGCAAATCTTCTAAAGCACAGTAACTAATGTTTGTTTATGCCTTAGTTACAAAGTAATCAAGTAGTTATTGCTCTTTAGTGGTTTTGTATAAAACTCCTTCAAAGTTAAAATAAATTTGTGCAAATCTCACCTATGGTGGGAAAAATAGCCTGACATTTGCGCAAAGCTCCCCAAAGTATGTTTGTAGAAATGTTCAGTTTGCACAAATCTGTCTGAACATGCTAAAAATGGGATTAATATTATCTAGGGATACAAGAAGGTAGAAGAGTAAATGGATTACTATCAGTCCTAAGCAGGGCTTTTTTTGTCATAGAACGCACCGGAACAGCGTTCCGGCACCTTTTTTTCCAATGGATTTTACGAAGTGATTTTGAATCGCCTGTCGGCGTAGCAAGTCAGCAGCAAACATCATTAACATAGCGCCTGCAGGTTGCTTTTGTGTCCACGCCGCCTGGCTTGGGATGCTGCTCGGCTTGGGATTGGTGTGTGTGGTCGCACGCTGAGTGCTTACTGCCGGCAGCGACGTGAGTTCCGGCACTTTTTTTTTTTTTACAAAAAAAGCACTGGTCCTAAGATTTAATAGAGAGAAGATACTGTCAGCAAAACCACTAAGGTATTTTGCTGCTCTTGCCTGGTGGCTTTCCCATCATTTGAAACAACCCACGCTAAAGCGAGCCTTCTGGGTTTGGATGTAATGACATGCTGCCTTGAGCACAAGCTACCCTAAGCACTCTTACTGCCAAGCATGGATTGCCTGCATACACA